CACTGTGAACCAAAATAGACTTTTCCTCTTTATCAACTGATCATCTCAGGTAGTTTGTCATAACAACAGCAAGCTCACCAGCACAGAAACCATAACCCAAGCTTCAGGACACTCATTGCTAAAACATTAGTTGTTTTATTTTCTAGATGTTCTTGGTGGATAGAGCTAGCAAATTTATATGTCTTTCTTTTTCTTTCTTTATTTCTTTCTTATGTGTAAGACAAAATTTTTTATAACCATTTTACTGAGATATGATTAACATACAAAAAGCTACATATATTTCATGTGGACAACTTGATAAATTTGGAGCTAATTATACACCCATAAAACTATCACCACAATCTATGTTATAAACACATCTGGCAGCTCCAAATATTCCTGTTTGTATGTATGCATGCATGCATGTAGATATTTAGTGATTTAGAAATTAACATAAGACCACAGCAAGTTTGTAAGTAGAGAAATTGACACTGTTAAAGAGAAAATTAGATCCAAATAGGTTATTACTGGTATTTTCAATGTCATGTAGAATACATTTAAAGCCTTTAAGATTTATGCTTTTTCTTTGAAGTTTTAACATACAAACAGTTTGCATCTAAGTGGTGGTTTTTTTTTTTTTGTTTTGTTTTGCTTGTGTTTTGTTTTTGGAAAAACTTTCTTCAGCTCCAGGAATTTTTTTCTCGAACATCTTTGATAATGTTTTCCTTTTATTTTTCTGTGACTTTTTTTCAACAATGAAATGCAGATATTGGACTTCTGAATGTCTTCCTTGCCTCTTCTACTTTTCCTATCCTTTCATTTTTTGTTACAAGAACTCCTTGATTCTTCTGGAGATGTGGAGGGCATTCTCCTCCACCAACTGTATTGTGAATTCAGTCATTTCAAGCAATCTGCAGTAATAAGGGAGGAGGATGGATATCGAATGTCTCAGTTATCTTGATCAAGTTATTGTCTCTCTTTTCTTTTTAACATAATTGAACATATTTGGTATAGGATGTGTGTCCCGCATTTGTTTTCATTTTGGTATATGTGCAACTTCTGATATTATTAAAAATTCTCCAAAGAATGCATTAGTGACTACATGATGATTACATTGTGTGGAAAAATAAGGAAGCATTTCAGATTTTTCCCATTTTTTAACTGCAAGTAATATGATGAACAGTGTACATATATTTTTGATGCATCTCTGAATTATTGCCCTTGGGTATGTAGATTCACACTCTAAAGTGAAGACCATGGATATTTTAAAGATAAATAACACAGTTGCCAAATTGCTTTTCAAGATATTGTAGCAATTGCAGTCCCAGCCATAGATTGGCAATTTGTCATACATTAGCTTGTATTAAGTATTATAAATTTAAACCCACACATACATACATATATATTATAAACATATACATAGGCATAGTTAAATATCTCCTTCATTTGTCATATGCTTTAAATTTTATTGTATCTGAAATTCAAAAGTTTGACATTTATACTAAATAAAATGCATTGATTATTACTTTGAGAGCTTTCTATTATTTTTGTTGGGATAAAAATTTCTCATAGGGCATTCCTGTAATCTCAGCACTCAGGTGGCTAAAGCAGGAGGGGTTCCAGGAGAAGGGATCACTGGGGGTCCCAGGCCAACCTGTAGTACATAGTGAGTTCAAGGCCAACCCGAACTACATAATGAGACCCTGTCTCAAAACATATGTTTTCTTATAAAAAGATCAAATAAATATTCACCTTTATCTTATTCTAGATTTTCTATGTTTTCACATTTTAGATTCAGATGTTAAACTAATTTTTGGCTTATTTAGATGTACAAAATATATTTTTCCCTAATAGCCACTTTGCTAATTTGAATTAATGAACACTCTAACCATTCTCTTTGATATTTCCTTCTTGTATATACAAGCATATACTCACATCTATTTCTGCACTATTTTGGTCTATTAATGTATTTTCTATCAATTGTTTACATTATTGTAGCTTTATAGTATTCTACCTTGCAAGAAAGTCCATGACCATTTCATATTAAAGGAAAACATTATAGGGTCATCATGCAGAAATATTACAAAACGGCACTTCCAAACTTCCCAGGACTTAAGTGGGGATTCTATCACCACAACAAGCACTTAAATCCATTTGGCTATCATAGCTATTATTGCAGTGTTCATGACAGCTGAACCATTGTCATAAAAGAATAAAAACACACAAGTAGATCTTCATTTTCTGGATATTTTCTAGCATCTGGTAGACAGCTGTGCACATGTAAATGTTTGATGTCCTTTATATATACTCTCACATGTTGTCTTCTTTTAAAATAAAAATATTCTTTCATGCATTTTCTTGGAAAGTTTAGCCTCAAATTTTCATACTCAGTTGTCACTTTTTATGCATTATCTCTGAACAGTTCCATTTGGGAAGTAAAATGTAGTTTAGTTTGGAGGCCCTCAGTCTCTACAGAGTTTGCTGCTAGCAGCTTTTTGCCCCCAGAACTCAACCAGGCCAGCACTGTAGCTCACACTTTCAAGGGCTGAGGGGAGATGGGGGCATGCTTGTGATGGAAATTTTCTGGAAAAATAAAATGGCTCTGGGAAGATAATAATAATAATAATAATGGAACCTGGGTGAAATAATCCAGACTACAGAAAACACACACACTGTATGATTTGGTTTATATATAGTTCTAGACAGTTTACCATGACAGAAAAATGAATAATGGTACCCTACTTCTAGGATGGGCAGAATAGAGAGAACATGATCACAGAGAGGCAAAGGAAACATTTGGGGTGAGGGACATATTTATTTTCCTGATTATGAAATTGTATACTTTAATGATGTGCAATTCACTGAACATGGAAATATACAGCCATCCCTTAGTACCTACAAGGGGTTGGTTCCAGGTGCTCTCCCCAGTATGACAAGGTCCATGGAAGCTCAAATCCCTTATATTAAGCAGTGTAGTATTTGCATAGAACCTATCACAACACTCCTGTGTAAATTATCTCTGGATAATTTATTTTACCTTATTTTTACTATTATTTACTATTTTACTTTTATTTTTACTATTATTTTACTTAACCTGACGTTAATGCTATGTTAGCAGTTTCAACACTGTATTGTTAAAAAATATTTCAAATCTGCTACTCTTTGAATCTGCAGTTTTAGAACTGGAGGACAGGAAGGATCTACTGTGTGCATGTGTGTTCACAGAGTTGCATGAAACCAGCCAAATGATAAGCAAGAGGCAAAGAACAAAAATAAAGAGATAGTACAACGAAGTGCAGGAGACTAGACAAGACTGAGTAATTACTAAAGAATTCCATGACCGCAGTACAGCTCAAAGTGGAGGTCTAAGCTGGTTGGACTGAGCAGAGCTTCTAAGAACAGTGTACATAAACCCCTTGGGTATCTTCTTAGCACAGACTCTGACTCAGTAGGTCTGAGAGGCCTGAGAGTTTGCATTTGTTAGAAGTTCCCAGCCAGCGCTCCTGCTGCTGGCCTTTCAGTCCTTCTTTGAGGAGCGAGAGGCCAGAGCACTGTTTTCAACCTTGGCTGCATGTGAACAACACAGGAGAGCACAAAACCAAGCAAAACAAAACCCTGATCCTTGGGTCTCACTCCACCCTCCCAGATGCTGACTTCTTTGATCTAGAGTTCAGCTCAGTGTGTTAGTCAGTTTTCCACGGCAGGGACAAAATACTACAGATAAATAAATTTAAAGGAGAAAAGGTTTTTTGAGCTTGTAGTTTCAGTGGTTTCAATTCATGGATTCTTAGCCCCATTACATTTGGGCCAGTGGTGGGAAAGTAGTTCAGAAGGAAGCACATGGCAGAGGAAATACGTTCACTGAATGGAAGCTGGAGAGAAGTGGGGGAAGGGGCCTAAATACCAGTGCCCGCTTCAAGAGCACCTAACTTCTTAACTTCTTCCCTTTAGGCTTCATCTCCTAAAGGTTCCACAACCTCCCAGTGGCACCACAGGCTAGGAACCAAGCCTTTCCCACATGGGTCTTTCGGGGGTAGTTAAGATCCAAACCACAACACTGGGAATTGAGAATTTTTAAATCTTCTGGATAATTCTAATGTGTAGCCAACATGGAGAACCACTACTCAAGAGTGATTAAAAAAATCATACCAGAGAATGAGGAGGAACAAACCTCCTCCAAAAGGGAATAGGGGTGGCAAGTGACTGGGGCCTGATAAATAAAATAAACCATACCCCCAGTCAGCCAAGGCTGACCCTGTTTCAAATATGCAAATTTACCTGGCAGGGGGTACTTCTACCCATGTTGAAGATGCTTTGTTACACTCACACTAGGCCTGGGATTAAAAGCCACACTGATGGCCCAGTAGCTGAATAGGGAGTCAGACCTTCCTAGGGATTGTAGCCATCAGGAAGACAAGGCTTGGCTGTGGACAAAGCTGACCAAGCAGGTGGTTGCACATACATTTACCAACACATCCACGAGGATTTTTCATTAAAAGGAGACAACCTTCAGCCTCCCTCCTCCACCATCCTGAGGGACCACAAACCAGGCATGACAAACGATGCTGTTGTCTTCTGATATGCCCCAGATTTATTTTGAAAAATCATTTTCAATTCAGCTACTTTTCTATTAATGTTAGTAGGTTGCAAATTATTTTCTGATGTCTTGCAGATTTGCATAAGCATCACAGAATTCTGATTCTGAAACCACTGGTGCACCAAGTCATAAAATGTCTAATGAGACATGCCAATTTAATTGTGCTGCTTGGAACTTCCAGAATCTGGGTTTGTCAGCATTTTGCTGACAAATGTCATTATTTATAGTCTGATCTTTGGTACTGATTATATTTACCATGGCTAAAAAGATTGGGAAATGAGCTATGCATAGTAAAAAAAAAAAAAAAAAGAGAGACTTCTTTTTTCATTTGGTAGATTAAATTGCAGTTTGGTCACAAATAAACTTGTAATATTTGAAAACAATATGGTTTGGTAATGGTCATTATGTTCAAATCCTGATGCAGAGGATGCTGTGTATCTGGACGACGAGAAAGAAAGAGAAGAATACATCCTGAATGATATTGGGGTGATTTTTTATGGAGACTTTGACAACATCAAGAGTAGAAGCTGGAGCTATGGTCAGGTGAGCCATTTAAAATTTGTCATTGTCAAGGACATTTTCACTTAATATTTTTTGTCACATATATTACTGCAGGATCCTGTACATTGATATTAGATGAGCACAATTTCCTGCTTTTTAGGATCTAAAACTCCAAGACAGAGAGCACAGGAGTAGACTTATAAAGACAGCTGCATAATTTATCAGCTGAAACCACATATCTCCCACTTACTACAATGCTGCAGAGATCAGAGCATCTATGGGTAATGTGGCATCTGCTTAGAAATATGTTGGTATCTCAGTACAGTGAAACCTTATTGGTTCAACTGAGAGTGGACTGAAAATTTTCTTATAAAAGCTATTTTAATAATGATGCAGAGAATACTGCAGACTGTGTCAATTTTTTAAAAAATAGCTTTTTGAAGAAAAAAAGTGTTAGTCTGGGATACTATTAATTAAAAAGAGTGTTATTATTTTTTCAGAGGGAGTCCACTGAGCTTTTTATATAGACATTTTATCAACTGCAACCTCAAATTACTGGATAAATTGAAAACAGCAACTTTTTTCTTTATGATACTACATAATTCAAACTATTTCAATTTGGAGTCTTTAACAATGGTGCAAATGCACAATACTTTTCCCTATTTCCATAAATGAATGCATGTCCTATGATTCAAAAGTGATTTTTTATTACTGACATAAGAGGAGGTGAGTGTGACATTTTTCCGAACATCCAGGCTGAGATAACGGGAATGTGCGTCACTGTTCTGGGTACTCAGGGGAAGGGTTTGGTGGAATCCAGCCATACTGGGTCATGTGGTACTTCCTTGGCTCCTGCCACCTTGCTTTGACTTCCATATGGGGTCTTCCTGGGTCCCTGAGCCACAGCTCCAGCCTGAGCCCTGGTACCCATGTTGTCATGAGCTCTTATCTCTCCACACATCCTTTCAGTTTTGTGAACAGCTTCCCCCTGACTCTTGAGAGTTGCATACTCAGTATTTAGGCTTGCCCACCTGCATTTCTGATGTCCTGACAGGGTGTGAACTATGCTTACTTGCCCTGTTTTTGTATTCCTTACTGACTTCCTGAGGAAGACTTCCCTGCCTCAGTGACTATGGCCTAGACCTGGTTCCCTTGCCTTGGGTCCCTGTTTCCTAGTCTTTGGGTGCTGTCTTAGTCTCTTTTCTTTTGCTATAACAGAATACCTGGGGCTGGAAATTTTATAAAGGAAACAGGTTTATTTAGCTCACAGTTTTGGAAGCTGAAGGTGGAACTGCCTCAGATCAGGAAGGCCATCTGATCAGACTGTGGTGAGGGCCTAGCTACATCACATCACAGTGCAGAAACAAAGTGGGAATGGGGGAGCTGTAACAGAAGAGGCCAAGCACATGGGGTGGCCTCACTTTATAATACCCTGCTCTCATGAGAACCTATTTACTCTAGGGGACCAGTATTAATCCTTTCTGAGGGCCAGGTCTTCATGACCTAGTTACCTCTTAATACTGCCACCATCACTCTGATGACCGCAAGTATAGCACAGGAAACTTTGAGGGACACATCCAGTCCACATCCAAGCCATGGAGGTGTGATTCTGTTTATGGCTGCGGTGTGCCACTCTACAGATAGCTGGTAAAAGGGAAAACATCAAAGTAGTTACCAAGAAGAATTAGGAAGGTGTCCCAAGGGACTCCTGGTCAGCAGACCTTTGGGAAAGTCCCTTGTACACAAGCCGTGTTTCCACCGTCATTCAAAGACACCATGGATGTGGGTCCTTCTGCCAAAACAACAAGTCAGTTGTTTGCACTGATGAGGAATATTGAATTCTGTGACTATTTCTTTAACTCTCTGGTCAGTTACTATCATGTTCTACAAACGTGACTGAGATATACTGCTTATGAGAAGCGGAATAATGAATAGTTTATATACCTAAAAAAACTAGTGAGATTACAGATTATTTAAGCTATCCCATCAATTTGGGGTACACCCAGAGTTGGTGCTGCAACTGGATTTAATCAGTAATTACATGGCAACTAGCTATTAAGATTCTGACTTCTATTAAGCACTTAGGTGGATAATGTGTGTGGTTTCTGTGTTTGGATTAATCTCCTATTAAAATGTAATACAATACAGATAAAATCACCCTATCTTGCTATCATAGTACATTTTGGTCTTTATTCATTTTAAAGAAAATTCTGGCATTGCCTGTGGCCATAGCTTTTTCTAGGAAAATAGAACTGGCTACCAGGTTTTTCCCATGATAGGGCAACCTGTGTTTTTTTGTAGTTCTGTTTGTATTTCTGGCACGTTGTTAGGCTCTTCTTCACTTTCCTGGAAATTAAAATAAGATATCTCCTTCCTTCTACTTTCAGTTCATGGTGAAGATCATAGGAGATCATTATAAAGAGAATACATATTTTTATCCATTAGATTGTAGTTATAAAGAAAATATATATTTTTAGCCATTGGGCTGTAGCTTCATTTTGTTTTTCTGCCTGAGAATGTCCTATTTGCAAAATAGCCCTTAAGTAGTTTCTCATTTTTCCCCAGTTTGAAGATGGCATCCTCGATGCTTGCTTATATGTGATGGACAAAGCACAGATGGATCTTTCTGGTAGAGGAAATCCCATCAAAGTCAGCCGTGTTGGGTCTGCAATGGTAAGTGGTAACTACTGATGACTAAAATCTATTACACACACACCATATGCCTGAGTATAGATGTCAGTTCATTAAGATGTGTTGAAATAGTGACTTGTGCTTAATAAACTTTTATTTGTAAGAATGTAAGTTATGACACCCAGTATAGTTCTTGAATTCTCTGAGTTTGGCTTACACTATAAAACAATTTTTTTTTCTCAGTACTATATTTCTTTGGCTTGAGACAAATGATGATGGATATTATAATACTATTGAATGGTTATTCCTAAGAACCTCTTGCCTGGGGACTGAAAAGTGATCATGACAAAAATGTCAATGACTGTAATCAAATGATCTATCTATCAAGCATGAAGAAGCAAGAGGATGTGCAAGATACAGCACATCTGTATCTAATACTATTTAGATTACGTAAGATACATATAACCCCAGCATCTATTTACCCCACAAGAGGGCTTTATCACTTATAAAGTGGGTAATGATTCCCCATGGAATCCTAGGAGATATAGGGTGAGCATTACTCGTGCCATTTTGTAAGAAAGAAAACTGATGGTAGTTGGTGAGTGACAAAGTTTCCACTAGAATCCAGTCCTACTGATTCCAAATCTAGACCTGTTCTACTTTTCACACTGCTTTCTGGGGGAGATCTTGAGGCATCTTCAAGAATTCAGAGACCATGAAGGGCATGAGTTAAAAGTGGAGGTAGAACTCCCACGAGTGGTAGGCCAGGGGTCAAGGGTAGAAGCAAATTAAATACAGTGCTAGTGTAGTCCTGAACTATGCTGATATACTCCTCACACAGAATCAGCCTTTGGTGCATAAAAGTATATCATATCTTTTCAGGAGCAGAATATTCATAGAAAAATGTGAAGTTTGGCTGTATTTCATACAAAAACAGTGGACATTTTCTAAAATTTTCTGAAAACATTTTTTCCCTGGAAAATTTCTCTTTGCATTTGTTATTATACATTCTTTTGGGTTAAAACTATGAATGTGTTAACATGCAGATGTTAATCTGAGCATGATTTTTGGCTAGCTGTCAAGAGTGATGATTTTTATTTTATTTAAAACAAGGCTGCATGTAAATTAAAGACATAATAGAGCTTTAAAAGTGAAGGTAGACCCTAGCATCTGAAAGCATTTTGAAGATGGGCATGCAGCTCAGTGGTAAAGCACATGCTTGACATGAGTAAGACCCTGAGTTCAATCACCAGCATCAAACTAGATCAATAGGCGCTGTTGTTTTCCACTGTTCATCTATACTGCGTAATGAAAAGGCAATGAGTTTTTAAGATTTGGACGCTTTGTGATAACCTCTTATAACACCACATATTAGACCTGCAGTCAATCACTCAATCACTGTTTCCTTACTTTGAACACAAGACTCCTCTCATTTCTTTTTTCCCCTTGAAAGTTGGCATGATGCGTTTGCCATGAGAAAGGAAGTATTAGCTAAGAATGGTTAAATATAAATTAATTCCTTCTTAACATTCTGAAATGGCTTGCTTCTCAGCCTAAGTTACTCACGTGTATTTTCATGAACCCAGAAATCAGTGCCTGACATAAACCAATATAAAAAGGAAGCAAAAAAATGAACATCTGACTGAATCCTATCTGTAGTGCCACCTGCCCAAGTGGAAGCTGACAAATGCTGAATTAAGCACGTAAGGCTAAATGCCAGTTGCCTTGCAACTTTATTAATGATAAAAATCTATGAAGTTCTAATTTTGAAAATACATATCCCACTTGCAAAGTTTGGAAGGAGACAAAAAGAATTTCTTTGGGGAGTAGTTTGGTTCTGGTTTGATTTAGTTTTGTGACGGGGACAGCTTGGGTACTAAGAGGGCGAGGTCTTGCCTTGAGCAATTTTAAACAATGTGTCCATTTACACCACACTATTGTTTATGTATGCAGAAAGTTTACCAAACCCTTTCACATCTATTATCTCCTTTCATCCTTAGAATAGCTCTGTGAGTCTTTCCAAAACGCATTCACTTAGAGTGGTTTTTAAAACTAAAATAAGAAGCCTCCAAGAAATCAATGAAAAGATGACACTTTAAAAATATCAACTGTTTTCTGATCATTCAGGCAGTTCTCTTCCTGTTCACAAATCCTGGAAATTTATCATGAAATTTTCAAGTCCAGTAATGTACACATGGAAAAAAAATACTTCGAATCACTTAATTAAAGATTAATTTGAAATATTAAGAAATGTATTTAGAGAGCCAGCAAGAAGATATTTGAAGTTGGGAGAGTCAAGCTAGAATCCAGACTGCCAGGTACATGAGTCTGTGTTTGTGTTCTTTGGGGATAAAGCTCAGGCCTAGGAGAAACGGAGCCGGCTGTCCAGGTATTTCCTGAGTCCCTCTGAAATACCTCCACCTGTTCACTGAGGCTGGGAGTGCCTCTCACAGAGCATGAATGCCCGAACAGAAGGACACATATGACATACAAATCCTCCTGAAAGAGTAACACACAGACTTCGATAGATGCCGAGATAACAATGATGGGAAGCAGAATGTTCTAGAGAGCAGCTGCTGCCAGACAAGCATGAGGATGGGCAGCTCATCCCTGATTATGTCCCTCAAGAAAAGTGGAATTCAGTGAGCACACAATGCAGGAGCATGTGACTGGGAACCTATGGAAGTTTGCTTACTGTGGTCATGATCAAGTCTAGCACTGACCATTGGCAAGCAGTTGCAGGAAAGAGGCTGTGTGTGCTGCCCAAAGAGCACAGAAAATGACCCAAATTATGCAAATTTTTTAATGATGATAATAATATGCACTTGGATTTGAAGTTCACAATCCATAGATGAAATCCTTATGGTGTAGTACTCTAGCCTGGGATGAGTGTCATTGCAGGGAGCTGCCTCGTGCATGGCAGAAGTTTAGTAGCATCCCTGGTTTCTACCCAAGAGATGTCTGTAGCACCCCCCCAACACAAACACCCACCAGTTGTGACATCCAAAAATGTCTCCAGATATTGTCAAATGTCCCTTTGGGGGAAAATCACCCCCTAGGAGGACCACAGAACCGAATCCCTCTACAGCTCAGTTTTCCTGCCTGTGGAATGCCTGGAAAGCCTTAATTTGCTCAGCACCTACTGGTTTTCATTCTTCTAGTGAGAGCAGGTGGAGACACCATCACAGGGGAAGGGGCTGGGCCCAGGTCAGAAGACTGGGTCATGGCTCTGGTCTTTCTGTTAAACATGTAGTGTGTAACCCAGGGCAAAGCTTTCAACTCCAGCACTCACTTCTTCATCTTCAAAATGAAATTTTGCCTCTGTACTCAAACTACATTTGTAATTCCCATAGGTAAACACAACCTCAATGCTCTCTTTGCTTCTGTCTTTTCTTTTATAAATTAAGTATCCTCTTGTTATTTTGGATTGCTTTATTTTGCTTTATGTGAAAGTAGGGAAAATTGGTGACAGTCTGGACAGCCTTGGTCTACTGGACTTTTCCAGAGGAAAAAATGCAAAATCCTGTAATCCCATCGCATGAGGAGTGGACTTGAGATGTTACAACCTCACATAAGCTAACTTTTATTTAGGTTTTTCTAATTACTCAGTAGTGCATTTTATCAATACTACACTACAGATTTTTTAAAAGAGAAAAGAAAGAGAAAATTAGAAAAAGGAAGAGACTTACCCAAAGTTGTACTTTGTCCCTTAAATTATACCCTTCAATTGCTGGTTTTTTTCTATCTCATTTCTAATGTGACAGTCCCCATCAAGAAAATTGCCAGGAAATGTGCCAGAAAAAGTTAAGAAGGATGCTTTGTGTCATCCAAAAACCTACTTCAGTCACACGGCATTAACAAAGCATTCCATTTCCACCCCTAAATTGCTATGAAGCAGCCAGACATGGACTCTGAACTCCCAGTCAGGCTATCAGAACAGTTGTGCCATGACATTTTGTGACAAGAACAGCATGGTCCTGGGGAGAGGGGACAGCAGTGACAATAGCCTGTCATTACCACTGGGTGGTTACCTGTGCATGTCTGCTTCTGCCCCGAACTGATTGGATCTGGCAGTGATAATGGGAGGAGGACCTCTCTAGGGATGCACAGCTGCTGCAGCCCTGTCCTCCATTACTGCAGGTAACTGCTTGCTTAGTCAGTTTGAGATCCCTGGATGTGTCACCTTAATGCAGATTTGCTCCTGTGGATTAAGATTTTATCATTAGGAGATCTGTATTGAAACTAGCTCATGAGATCCGGGAGCTACTCCAGTGATCTTGGTGTCATTTGCTCAAGGTCACACAAGTAAGTAGCTAGACTAGAAGTGGATTCTGTCCTTAATTTCAGGCCATATTGCTTTAGAGGGCCACTGCCAGTAACACAATTACTATGTCAAATGTCTCCTAGAAAAGAGTAAGATTTCAAGAAACAGAGCCCAGGATAGGTGAATTCTGAAGAGGGAGAATAAGTGAAGAAAGTTGTGAATCACAGGATTCTCAACAGCCAGAAGCACTGTCTTCCTGGGGAGGAAATCCCACAAGGATTAGGAACCAAATGTGTACAGTGGTGGTGGTTTTACTGGTGGGGTGGAGATATGAGTGCTGGTGGTAGTGATGGTGACGACAATGGGGTGATGGTTGTCTGGCTGGTGATGGTGATGGTGATGGTGATGGTGGTGGTAGTGATGGTGGTAATGGAGATGCAGTAGTAGTAATGATAGTGATGATGGTGGTGGTGGTGGTGACACAAGTCGTTGTGGTAGTGCTGAAGATGGTGATGTTGTTGATATTGTTTGCTGGTGGTGGTGGTGGTGGCAGTGATAATGGTGGTAATGATACTGATGGCAATGTAACATTCCATACCCATTTATTCATTCAACAAGTATCTATTCAGAATCTTTCAGTCTAGGCACTGATGTACAATTGTGAACAGGATATAGTTTCTGCCTTCAAAGAGTTTATATTCTAATAGAGAAGACAGGCACGTAAATAGAAAACTTCAATATAGCAAATCATTTCATAGAAATAAGCACAGAATTGTGT